CAGGGGCCTCCTCTTGGCCATTGGCCTCGTTCTCCTGAGGAATATTCGCCTCCTCGTCCGTCTTGTCGGGGCTGTCAATAGCGACCTTGACGGCAATCTCGCGACCTTCGATCTCCTTGCCGTTCATCTCGGCGACAGCCTTCTGCTGAAGCTCTTCAGAAGCTAGGGTGACGAAACCAAAACCACGACCCTTGCGGGGCTCGCCGCGAGCCTGGAGCTTCTTGATCATGAATCGGGGGATAGGGCGAAGGGCAATCTTAGCGGAGGAGGGCTGGTAATCATTGAAGAGTTCCTTAAGCTGTTGAAAAGTTAGCAGGTGCCGAGTTTACCACCAGCAAAATGACGACTTGCCTTCTCCTCGGTCAGGTCATAGGGTAGGTTAGCGACCATAACCTTGTTCTTGGAGGGGATACCGTCAGCAGGCGGTCCGCGCTCACGACGCTCACGAGCAGGGCCCTTCTTCGCAGACTTGTCTTTGTCAGCATCCGCCTTGTTGGTGATGTCGGTCAAAGGCAAAACCTCAGAATCGGCAGCGGTGGTAGCATTCGCGCCAGCCTCAGTAGGGGCATCGTCTTTTCCACCCTCCTAAATATTATTAGCAGCCGTTGAAATGCGTGGGGATTAAAGCAAAGACTTACAGTTCGGCCGCCACGACCAGCGCGACCAGCACGACCACGGCCGCGACCGCGGCCACGACCAGAGGATCGGCGCCGAGAGCCTTCGGCACCAGCCTCGCCGTTGGTAGCTCCATCGGCCTTCTCGCCAGCCGGCTGGGGAGTGCGTGCAAGTTGGACGGAGACCTTGCGCTCGAGAATCTCCTTACCGGAGAGTTCAGCAATGGCACGATCGGCCTCGGTAGGGGTAGATAGATCCACGAAGGCATAGCCAACGGGACGGTCGGTACGAGGATTCTTCGGAATCGAGACAGATTCACTAAGCGATAAAAATTAGTCGGAATTTCAACAAGCTTACTTGATAATAGCGAGATTATTCAAGGTCTGCCTTGTGGCAAACCCTCCATTTGTGATAATACAACCGTAAACATCCGCTTATTGTCAAGCCCCTATAAATAAAAGGGATTATGTAGTAGAAGCTGGACGTATGTGTAGGCCTTTATATACCACAAGGGAATCCAAGGGAAATATGGGTTAACAGGTAGATAGTTCACCACAAACTAGGGAAACAATTCCATATGTTGTAAGAATGAAATCAGCAGATAGACTTACACAAGGTAACCCTTGAAGAATTCTTTCAACTCCCCCTCAGTTGTCGCATATGCGAGGTTGCCGATGTACAATCGGCGGCCCTCGGCGGCACTAGCATGGACGGCATCCTTGTTCTCGTCCTTGCCAGCGAGAGAGGTATTGCTCAGAGCATTGGTAACGTCGTTGACGGCAGCGTCAGCAACTTTCTCCACAGTGGTAGCCATTGTGAATGATGGTTTCTGGTTGGGAGATTAGTTGAAGGTAGGTTGATTATCTTGACAGGAGGCGATGATAGACGTTGAATGGACGTTCGGGTTCGGGTTCAGTATTGAACTCTTGAACAATTTCGGGGGAGGAATAGGGTGGCTACGTGCCCTAGAGAAGATTGAAAGAGTTGGGAATCGGTGAGTTGTGACACAACGAGCTTGAGATTGATGGAATTGAGAGGTGTGAAGAAGAAATGGGAGAGACCAGATGTTTGGACGCGGCCAGAATTTTTTAAGGGTTGTTGTTTCTTGTGTGGGTCACGCCAAAGTTAAACTTACGGCAGGCGTGGGGTAAGTGAATATGGCTGCGCTTGACAGGAATCTACGGGCCAATTATAGAAAGGGGGGCGCATGCGCTTGTACAGACTTAGAGTAAGTACCTACCTAGGTACGTACTTGCCTGCCTGTTCTGTGGTGACCTACTTATAGGTATCTTATATCTACTGACGGAAGCTTCGCTGTAGATTTTAACTCGGAGTGCCTGAATCATCAGTGACTACCTGGGTACCTATGTACCTAATATTATAATTAAAGAGAGGCTTGCGCTAAAGAGAGCCGCATCGGCCTGAAGCAAATTGTATCTAGCCTTAAGTACCTAAGGTATATTATATGTAAAGGGAATGACTCAGTCAACAATCTTGCAACGACATGGTTAGAAGCTAGAGGATTAATAGAAGGACAAGATGATAATGAACAGTTACCTAAGGCACAGCAGAGGCAAGTAACACATGGAGAGAGATACATGTAAGGGAAGGTAAGGAATACTACTGAGCTTGTAGATGCGTAGATGCAAGTTTGAAAGAAACATTACTATGCAAATAAGCTTGCCTGTTCTAGCAAGTCACTGTTGTCCTAAATTCTTTCATGTAAACCTCTGAGGATTATAATAGAAGAGAAAACAATTATCGATTTCTTGACATGTCTACGTAATAAGGTAGGTACCTATGTGCATTTGCCGCGTTGGATGGGTACATGTATGTATATTCAATCGTACTAACACCGAAATCTCCCAAGTCGGTGACACCGGAGGATGGTACCTTCTTTGCGCACTTGAAAAGGATTAAGGTACAACTGTCATTAAGCTCGAGTTTTCCGAGAAGTTAGGATGGAAGGACACGGATAGCTCTTTAGGTTGCATTAATAAGGTAGGTACTTAGCGTGTGTAATTCCTTCACACGTTTTGAATTACTACGCTTTGGTGCAGAAAGAATGCCGGGCGTGGATGTTTAAGGTAACATGTAGGTTAGACTATTAACTAACATCAGTTCGGCAACATGCTTGAAATGTCGAAATTGGATTTATCGAAAACTCGGGGGGCGCATTGAAAACAGCAAATTACGCCATTTAGATGCCTCCTTGGTGCATCTCCAGCTTTGTTCTACTGAACTCGGGTACCTAACTCGCAACCAAAGACAATATGACATGTTATTAAAAGGAACCACGTTCTCATTGTCGGAATATTTCTTTCCACATGCGAACCTGGGTACGATTAAGTCAAATCACAAGTCGGCCAATCTTCTGGAAGTTCTGAAAGAACCTGGTTTCTGGGGTTTTAACGATCGAGCCACTCAATGCGGACAATGCGAACCCAGCAGGGGTTATTGTAGGTACACCCCTCTTCTTCTCGCTTAATAGACACCTTTCTTCACCTACAAATCGAAAAGAAAAAAACAACCCCCCTTTTACCCCTTTACGGTTGCTTCAAGAAACGGAATCTTAATACCTGTATTATCACAGACGGGGTTAAAATTCCCAGCATGAGTAAAAAGGTCTCTGGTTTTATACCCGTACATTTTCCAGAAAAATGAGACTCCCGCATTTAAGCTTAATATCCTCTCCTTTCCATATTCCATAGCAAACAGGTCGGTAAAGCCTTATGTCGGTGTAGTGTATGACTCTTCCGGCCAACTGACGATTTTAGGTGAGGTGCACTACGCAATTGGCAAACAAATTTAGTCCACATGGCTTTTGCCCGGTATTTTCGGCTGGGTAAGGTAGCTTACTCGCTGTTGCGTGCATGAAAGTACAGCCAAATCGGTAGCCCTAACCACAATGCCGGCTCCCAGAATGCAAGAGTGCAAGAATGCAGACAGCTAAAAGGTCATATCAACGTTACTTTGCAGCTCCTTGCTGTCATGTTCCTGAAGCGCGATCGAGTCAAAATTGTCTTTTGGTCCTTTGTTCGGCGATTTACCTATTAATATAAATCGAATGTGATGTATCAATATTGGGTTTCCTTGACACCTGCATTCCTACCGCATTAGTCGCACGTGACGAATGGAATGTTTAGAGAGATTGCATAGCAGCCACTTATAACTTGGCGTAAATACCCACCAATATAACTATCTATTATGTAAACTACGGGGTAGTTGTGCCTTACATGTACGAGATGATTTAGATTCTCCTCTGTTCCTAAAGAAAGTTTTCCCATCCAATTAAAAGCATGCACGTCACGCAAGAAAAGGACTCGATTTCTATGTAGTGACCATAAAGTCTCTATCACTTAAACCATTCATGCACCCTTACGAACTTGCTGACTAATAACCTTTTAAATCTGTTATAGTTTTCAATGTTTAGAGTTGAACTTCTAAGTCTTAGATATTCGTAAGCACAACCTCACAAAGCGTTTTAGAGGTGAAGCACAATTGCCTTTGTACCCTAAAGCGCTGGCCTTAAGGGAAACCCATTTAGTCTGTACTATTGTCTTATAATTAAATAGACCTAAACATCTAAATAGTTGATAGATGGTAATTACATGCAGAGAAAGGGGGTTCCAATGAGATCATAGTTCGGCTCTGGAGGAAACTCTCATTCGCCTGTACAATATACGAAAATATATAGAATAATAATAGATAATTAAATTGAAAGCGGGGAGGATGAAGAAGAAAAAAAAACATCGTCGGATTCTTTCCTACTTACAGCTTAGGTCTTTAAAACAAATCACTAGCAAAATAATTATAATATCCACCTGAACCGGCATATACTAACATTAAAGAATCGGGCAATGAAAAAAAGTAAATTACTATGCTTAAAGCTTATTGCAAGTTCTATTCAGTTTTTTATATTTCTGAACACGGAATTTTATTCCTAAATAACAGCCTACTAACTAATATATATGATAAGCAAAACTCGATCCTGGTCTCCTTGGCCGAGTTATTCTTTTCATATATCTATATTAGACCTACTAATTTTTGTGTGATTTCAAAAGGAATACCACAGTGGATATAGAAGCCTGGTGGCTGTCTCGGGAACTTAAAAGACGCCATGCAGGGCGGCCCGAAAATTTAGTCTAATTCCCATGTTGTGTTCCAGGGGCATCATGTCGTACAACGGGACCCCTAATGTCCTTCTACTTTGTGTTACTGAGCAAGGTAGACGATAAGCAAGCTTAGAAAAAGCATGTCTTGGGTAGGTAATAGCTCTCGGAATATCATCCACTTAGACAAGGCCAAAAAATATCACAACTTCATACATATTCCATGTTTCGATCAGAGGAATTATATGACTATATTTTTATCTAATCTTTCAACCACCACCTAACTGGGTAGTCACCTATCCATTTTTGGAAGCGGTATAGTCTATAAGAAATAAGAAACCCAATTCCAACCCAAAGTCACGCACACCGCTTGTAGCAAAGTACTATCCAGGAAGTTCGCCGTTAGTATCCGTGGAGTAAGAAAAAAAAACTGGACCATGCCAAAACTTGTTGGCGAAAAGGACGAAGACATTCAAGCTGTCTTAGGCGGTGTAAGTAGTAAGGTTGCGGCTCAATCAATAAAGGCGGCCGTAGGTAGATTTCATGCCATCCCAGCCGACGACGTGGTGGTGCGCTTAATTGAACGGCGGCATATCCAGCCAACTCCACAAGGCCACCTCAGTGGCTTGGACAGTATGTATTGAACAACGGCGAATGCATGGTGCCTAGCCTAGCCATCATCGAGCTCGATATTGTGGAGTCAAAACGTGTTCACCGCAGTTTGAGCTGGTCTTTTTACACATCAAACCTGTATTACTATATCGATGGATAGACCGAAAAGGGGTTGTTCCCCTCCACGGATTACACTAATATTTATGGGACCAAGATAAAGATGTAGACAAATATTCGTCTTGATCCGTATACACCCATAATATAGAATATATTATCATTAAGAACTTCAAAAATATATCTACGTCAACGATGCAGCTGGAAGGAAATATGTACCTGCCTGTAGTTCCATACATTATGCATGGATGGGTACGTACATGCATGTACCTTGGTGACATGGACGTAAGGTCCACTGGTACATACCTAGGTACTTAAGTACCTATATTAGGTAAACCTAAAATGTCATCGTAGCAGATACAGGAGCAAGTGCGGGGTCCTGATTGGGAGGGGCAGAGAACTCAATAGAGTAAGATCCTTATCTTATCGATCTCATCTTTCCAAACTTGTAATGCAAACCCTTGCAATTCTTCCCTTGGATCTCTCAAGGCAGGTAAAGTTGTACTTGCTCAACATGGCATCGGAACTCAACTATGAATATACGGCCAGTGGGGATGGAGCCGCAAAGCTTGAGAATAGACATATACTCATCCTTTATGGTTCCGAAACAGGGAATAGCCAAGACCTGGCTGGTGACCTTGAACGGCTTGCAGAAAGGCTGCACTTTAATACACAGGTCCGTGAAATGAACGATGTTGAACTTGTAAGTTGATATTCACTTATTCATCCATCTCATTCATTATTGCAAAGTCTAGTGACTTATCGTTTATAATTTACACTTGTGAGTATTCCATGTCACCGTTGAAAATATTATTGCCTTTCATCTTTTATACCTTATTCCTTTGTATTTTTACTGGGCGCACGGGTCAATAAAGTCTTCCTCTAGCTCCAAGGCCGAAAAAAACAAACACCTATCAATTCGAATAATTTGCTATTATCGTCTATTCCGTACTTGTAACTGTATGGCCACGCTCTCGTGCCATTTATCGTGCATTGCCGTGCTGTATCTATGTATACAAGTGTCGACAGCAAAACAAAAAAAAAACCGACAACACACATAGTAACCAGATCTATCTCGTTTAGAATGCATTACTACAATACCCTCTAATCATATTCGTCATTTCTACCACCGGCCAAGGCGAAGTACCTAAGAACGCTCGCAAGTTTTGGAAGAGTCTCCTCCGCAAACGACTTCCTCCAAAGTGCCTGCAGCTACTTAACTTCACCACTTTTGGTCTCGGCGATAGTTCATACTCCAAGTATGCAATGCCCCTAATCCTTCCTAACCCTTCCTGACCCTTCCTGACCCTTCCTGACCCTCCTTCTCAATTACATCATCACCGACTAATCTTCTTAAATCTGCTTTATTCAGGTACAACTGGGCAGTTAGGAAACTTCACAAACGCCTTGAACAACTCGGTGCGACCGAATTCTTCCCACGTGGCGAGGCTGACGAACGTCACCAAGACGGGTAAGCAGCTTTCTCTCTCTTTCGCTCTCTTTTTCGCTCCATTTCATTCTTTGACTTTTTGCTTCCCTTATCTCAGTTACTATATTAAACTAATCCTTTCTCACAGCATCGACGGTACTTTCTTATCTTGGTCCCTAAGCCTTCGTAGTCATCTTCTGAAGGAGTATCCGTTACCTGACGGTCTATCACCTATACCCCTGGATGTGCAACTTCCTCCCAAGTTCACATTAGAGCTAGCGCCCGTGATGGATCTCTCGGATGAGCTGATGCCTGATCGTGATGGGCACCAAGCTGGAAATTCAAACGGTGCAAAATCAACATCTCCTATTGTCAAATCATCAAATGGAGATCATCATTTTACGCATCCTAGACAGACTCTCGACGAAAAAGCTGCACTTTTTAGTCATGCCGACACACCTGACCCGGAGCGATTAGAGCAGGCTCTGCGTGCAGAAAGGATGTCTATCAATAGCAACAGCTATCCGGCACGTCTATCAGAACAGACAGCCAAGCAAATACAGGGCGGGATAGATATTCTAGACCGACCGAATGTTCTAAGAGACCACCCATCTAAATACCTCCTAGATGACCCGAGCAGTTGCAAGGACGCTCCCCCTCCCTCAGATCTTCTTCCGATACCGAGAGGCTGGCTCGCCCATTTGCGTGAGAACCGTCGCGTCACTCCTACCAGTCACTGGCAGGATGTCCGTCATATAGTTCTCGAAGTACCTACACAGCCAAATTCTAACAGGAGAGGGGATAGAGAGCTCTTCAGCTACGTTCCGGGTGATGCAGTCCTCATTTATCCCAAGAATTTCCCGGCAGATGTACAGACATTGATTGATCTCATGGACTGGAACGACGTTGCTGATATACCGTTTGAGCATCGCGCAAGGCAGCAAGATGTGCTTTATTCGAAGCCTAAGAATTGCTACCCTCTTCCTCATTCCACCCTACGCGAGCTTCTTCTTCATAACTACGACATAACTGCTATTCCGAAGCGCGTATTCTTCCAAGATATTGCTTTCTATACAGATGACCCTATGCACCAAGAGCGCCTGCGGGAATTTGCCAACCCTGGCCTCTCGGACGAATTCTACGACTATACCTCTCGACCTCGACGATCTATTCTGGAGGTTCTCCAAGACTTCCCATCAGTCAAGATTCCCTACCAACATCTTCCATCTATTTTCCCCGTCATGCGAGGCCGAGAGTACAGTGTTGCGAGCGGCGGCCAACTTCTTAAGAGCGAAGAAAACCCAGAGATTACCCGAGTCGAACTTCTAGTAGCATTGGTGAAATACAAGACGGTTCTGCGAAAGACGCGACAGGGACTCTGCTCTCGCTATTTAGAATTCTTGCGCCCTGGAACGAATATCATAATTACCCACAGAGAATATGATACGTTAGAAGCCAGCTGGACCCGCAGACCATTATTAGCGATAGCTCCAGGCACCGGTGTCGCGCCAGTACGTGCCCATCTTTGGGATCGTATCGAAGAGTCGCAAGCTGGCGATGCCCTCCTCTTTTTTGGCGGTCGAAACCGTGATGCCGACTTCTACTTCCAAGACGAATGGGAAGATCTTAGGGTGAAAGTCCTCACGGCATTTTCTAGAGATCAAGAGGAGAAGATTTACGTACAGGACCGTATCCGTGAGCAGTGGCAACTGGTCTGCGAGTTTATCCAGAAGGGTTGCATAATCTGCATTTGTGGGAGCTCGGGGAAAATGCCGGAGGCAGTTAAATTAGCCATACATGACGCCATGGTGATGGGAAAGATGGCACCTGATCGTGAGGCCGCAAAAAATGTACTGGCCAGGAACAACCCGTTATGGGAGGAGGTTTGGTAACGGACAGGGTGGTTTCATGAGTGGCAACACTACTCTCACAAGATTGTACTGTTCTCCAGTCATCATGGTAGATGTAACAATAACCACGCTAAGCAGTAGCCTCGATGTGAATACTAGGACATATTCCTATTCGTAGCTATCAAGTAGACTTGCTAGAGACTTAATGAACAGCTCTAGGATTTCTACCCAGACGTTTGTCTATATTGTAGTTTAATATGACTTACTCTAAACCATACTCACTATTACCCCTATCCCATCACTATACTACTTAGCTACCTCCGAAAGCTTATCATGCTAATCCATTCCATAGTGCCTTTTCAAGTCTATTGTTGTCGAAATAACCTTGAACAGCACAAGGTTATGGAAAGTAGACTCCTATAATACGCTCTCTGCTCCCCCCGGTCTTCGGTAGCATAATGAAAGTCCTACTTTCGTGCGTTAATATGGAATACGCTATGTCGGGAAACCAGTATTACTGTAGCCCATCTACTCCGTAGTTCCGGGCATGGACGACAGCATATCAGATCGGCATCGTGCCCATTCGGAGCAAAGGAAGGGGGAAATAATTCCTCATAGTCCCGGGTTTGTAAGATACCGTATCTTAATAGATGATATACTTGCTTTCATGATTTTTTATCTCTTGTCTAGCAAGCCATGTCTTAAACATCAAATGCTTTAGTCCAATTGTAGACTTCCCTTCCTCCGAATCCTAGCGGTCTGCGGGTACTATCAAACTAAATCATTTTCTATAAGCACGGCCGCGATACCGCCGATACCTCGAGAGTCTCCGGCTGTTGCGTCGCTGACGTATGTTAGAGGTCGGAGGGGCGAATCCCTACAACTTGGTAGTTCATTGGCTTTTCTACGGGATACATTGTCTTCCTCTCATTGATATTGTGTTAAAGTGGCATTAGAGACCTAATATTGATGGTAATAAGTGTTTACTCTTGGAAACCCTGTACAAGTCATATAAATCTACGTAATCCTATAGTCAGCATAGGACGATGGTATGGGCAGTGCTTCAAGTTCTACTTCTAAGTGTTATGCTAGCTACGTCTTTGTCTATAGATATTTAACTATTACATGTTGGAATAGAAGTGACGGTTTAACTTATCTATAGTATTTGACTCCCATTCGAAGCAAGTCAAGTTTACAGCTCCCGCGGTCTTACATATCAACAGGAGTAACGAAGACACAATACTAACAATACTACAAGCAAATAACCTTTTGCATGAAAACGCCTGTAGATAGGATTCGTCCCTCTATCTATCACACGCGCGCTTTAATTTTAAAGCTCCCAGATCGCGGAACAGCCCAAGACAAATACCAAACTAACCCCCGTTTCAGCAAGAGCCCGTCAACAATGCATCTAAGGTGGAGTTATTCCTACTGCGACAGAAGACGCTGTCGCCACGTGCTTATAGCTTCTACGGGCGGGCTAACTCCGAATCGAGGCTGCACCGTGGTCTCGGTCAGGAACCCGGTATATGCCTGCAATGCAAGATTGACGTTACAACGGCTGAGTTTTCGACATAGGGGGAATTTTAAGTGTGGGTTCAGTCGGCGTGCCAAGGAGAATGAACGAAGGAAGAAGAAATTAACGAGAACACAGAGGGGGGTTGATCTAAGTGAGTGAGTCTTAAGCGGGTTGATAACTTACTACGGGTACTTTTGTAACTGAACCTTCGTATCCTCCTCACC